GCTCATTATCTTCTCGGTAGCACAATGGCAGCCCTGATGATTCCCGACCTTGTTCTTCCCATTTTTAGGCTGCTGCCACATATTCGGGTATGTCCTCGTATCCCCCTCTGGCTTGTCCAGATTGTGTTCGAGGCCTCATCTGGCACTCCGAACTGCATTAATGACAGGGCAACACACCTCAGAACTTGGGCGAAACTTCTTAGTTCGTAAAGTTTCAAAGGCCCTATCTCTGTTTCCAGTCGTATCAAAAGCGACTGCGAAATATGCATCCCCTAATTGTAAAACTGCTAGTAGCCCAATTTTCTTACCAGCGGCAGCGATGTGCTTTTTGGGCAGGTCATTGTTGCACGCTTAGCCTTCATGTTATTTGGCAGCACCACGAAATCCGTTCGGTTACCAGATTTCATTTGCTCCATCTCCGCAGCGGAGAAGCATGTAAGGGTCGGAGACTTCTTCGGGGTCGGCGCCTCAATGTTGGCCGGGGGCAAAAGGAAAGTCCGAAAAGTAGAAGATGAGGTAGTTATTGAAAAAGGGCCGGGAGAGTATTTATAGAGGTAGGGTCTCAGAGATGAGGGATAGGTATCCAACAGTGACTGGAATTGAGAACGCCCACGACATGACGGAAGTTAGTAACAGGGCTTTTTGCTCCCTCGTGTGTATATACTGATCTCGAATAGCCAACAGAATCATGCTTTGATGTACTTAGGTATCCATTCTAGTATATAACTGATGCATGTAGATCTCTTCCGGACTATCGAGAGCAAAAGAAAGAAGAAGAAGAAGAAGAAGAAGAAGAAGAAAAAGAAGCAAGAGAGATAGTTCCAGATGATAAATCTACATACCGCCATAGAGCCCCTTTATGCTCCATGGAGACAGAGAGATCTTAACTAGAAGCAAGCACCTGGGTACCTGCAAAACCTTGCCGCCTTGCTGCCTGATGCATATGCGTCAATAACTTACTCCCGGGGGGTATCTTTATCAACGTAGATACAGATGAGTTGCACTTGGCTTTACAGTCAACGTCGGTATGTTATAAAGGGGGAACTTTGTCCTCGAATTTTGGTAACAGCAATAGATTAGAACTGACGATAACTCAAAAATTGGGAGTGTATTTGTGATGAAGCCTCATCTGCCTTGAGCGAACACATACGAAATATAAAAATCTGGCACCAGATGGAAATACTAGCTTACTAGGCACGGACAGGGGAGAGAAGGAGTGGGTTGTGTTCAAAACACAAGTGGAAAGCAAGGGCTCAAAATTTGGGACGGACCAGAAAATGCAGGAAATAGGACACTATACGCCGTGGTGGTAGAAGACTTCACCTATGCTTGTCGGACAAATCAGGTCATGAAGAGGTAGATGCTGATGAGACGAGGAGTCTCTGGATTGAAGAAGATAAAGAAGAGGACGGTGTGGTTGTGTCAGCGTTTAGTCGACTTTGATGGCACTATACAATTCTCACGATTAGTCTATTACCTACCATATTCAACGGAGCGGTCTTACCTATAAACACGCCGGACGAACGCATAAGCGGCCAAGAAACCAACGGTTCCGGTCAACAGGCCATACACAGCGCAAGCGAGGAAGCTGTAGCTGAAGAATAGCAGGCTTGACACGAACCCGGTGATGTGGAGCTTGAAGAGGTAATACCAGATGCAGTAGGCAAAAATCCAAAAAGCGCTGCTGCCACCGGTGAGGAAGCTCTGCCACCACCAATGATAATTCTAAGGATGTCAGTATGGCAATCCATAATCCAAGCCAAGGGCAGGCTTACCTCGGAGCAAAGCTGGCTGTATGTTGCGATCACGGTCACTTCAACGACCGTGACAATCAATACGGTTGAGACAACACTCAGGAAGCCGAAGACATAGTAATAGCCAGACTTGTCTTGCCACAGGTTCTTGAAAAGGAATAACAGCTCAATGAAAAGAACCGCAAATGGAATGAGGCCAGTTACCACAGGCCCGAGAGGGGCGCGGAGATACCAGGGCTGGGGTGGGACTTGGCGGGCAATCGCATTCGTCTTCAAAGGGTGCTCCCATGGCGCCGCACGCACATAGCCGACCCAACTACCAATGTACACCAGCGGAACTTGGATCAGGAGCCAAAGTGCAAGGAGGCCGACCAGAGTCCCGAACGGAATTGCCGTGCTAGATGCTTGAGCCCAGACAAACAGGTTCAGAATCAAGACAAGGCAGAATGCCAGGCCAGGGAAAAGCAAAGCGGTCTAAACTCATAAGTTAGCAATAGAAAATGAATAACTGGAGTATAATACCCACGATTAGTGTGTTCTTGCGCCAAGCGGCTCCGCCAAAGGTCTTGTAAAGTCTTCCCGAGAAGTAACCGGAGAACAGGCCAGCAAAGACGAATAGGCCCATGCCGACACTAACAAATCCACCACGGAAGCTTGGGTTCAAGACTCCCAGGCAGCTGAGGAGGAGCAAGCCTGAAGCCATGAATAACAACTGCATTCCTGATCCAACCAAGGGGGCAAGAAGACCACTATAAGCGGGGATGCGGAACACATCCCCATGGAGAAGCTTCCAACCACTTGTATCTTCGAGAGCATCTTCGTCCGAGGAGTAGTCCGCATCGCGCTCCACATCCGCGCTATCGTCCAGAAGCCCTGAGGCTTTCTTCTCACCAAACTTCGCACTTCGGCGTCGAGATTGGCTCTTCATCTTCCGATCCTCCATAGCACCATCCCCCCGACCCTTAAGGTCACCTTGCACTGTGCGGCTCCAGATGACGAACACGGTCACTCCCAGCACGGTGCAAATTGTCAACGAGTTGATTATCGCTAGCCAGTGGGTTATCGAACTTTCGCCTTGGTTGGTAAAGTATAAATCCCAGCGGTTGGCCCACTCAACATTGGTGTCCTCTCGGAAGTAGACAGAGTAGGTGTAGGGGACCTTCAGTGTGGCTCCATCATCATCGTCATCATCATCTGGGATATATGACAGTCCGGAGTACTTCTCTTGCATTCGCGAAAGGTTGGGTGCGATATACAAGCCCAGCCCTTCGTTGCTATTGTGGACAGCTTTGGGGCATCCATTCTCCTGGCGGTCCTCGGCGGTAATACTTTTTGGGTACACCTCAAAACCTACAACCACTTTTCCTCCTTCTGGTGCGCTCCGCCAGCGGATAACGATTGTGAAATGGTTGTTGATAAAGTACCGATGCTGACCGGTGATTGGAGAGATATCTCGATAGCCAAGCTTGAATCCGGAAGCGTAATACTTGCGGCTTCGATCCACTGTTACAAAGCTTGTGGCGCCTGGCAGATTATCGGCAATCCATTCGATCACATATCCCTCCTTGACGAGCTGACGAGCCCATTTCACATTTGACCGACTAACCTCGCGGGTGCAGAGTGGCTGACACTCCACGTCCTTCCCCATCGCAACTTCGAAGTCGGAGGTCATGATTCGGTCGCCACGCAGTACCTCTCCAATATTGAGCGAGATACTTTGGCCGGATCCAAACGGGGAGCCGCCATGTTTTTTGCCGCTCGGGGGGCAGACGAAAGGAAGGTCGAAATAGGCATATTGCAGCTGGGTGTGGTCGGAGAAGATCTTGTTCACGAGAAGAGGAATCGGATCATTGTCATTATATCGGGTAACTGAGTATCCTGGTAAAAGGGAAGGGTGTAAGTATCATACGATTGTGTCTAGCCAAAGTACGCCTCGGTACTTACCAGGGATGTAGAATGCGCCGGCATAGGATACGAGCAGCAGCGTCCACAGCGCCCACTGACGGGAGCAGAATTGACCAAGGGCCATGTTCAGCAGAGGTAAAGAGATCTGTGTTGACCTTGGCCCGGAGTAAACGGGTAGCTATCGAACCAGCATGTACACAAAGTATGGAGGGTCGCACGTCGGTGGGTTACGGTGTGTCGATCAGCGAAAGCTAGATCGAAACGAGTGAGTCAAGAATGAATATGTTGTAGGGAGTATCTCGTTAAAGCGATTCTTTGTCGAGATGATCAGACAGTCCGATAGTGGGCTTGATCTCAGAAGTGCGTGTTGGATAGTAGATTGTTAAGGGTTACCGGATTGTTTCAGCTCGCCCGCAACCTGCCAAGTGACAGGTAAGTAACGAATGAAACTGGCACTGAATGCCACAGCGGTGATATAAGTGTGCCGAGAAAGGGGGTTGAGTAACTGTGGGGAGCTTGTAATAGTGAGCTTCGCGCTTCCCTGGCCTCCAGGGCTCCAGCGTGTCCCCGGATTATCTAATCAGAATGCCTCCCCGGGAGTGGACGCGCACCTGAACAGGCCCCGTCCATCTATGCACACCTCAATAAAACCGACCATACTATTTTGTAAGCCTTGATAGTCCAGAAGAATTGATGCTTCTAGAGTGATTTGCCCTAATCATGAGTGCCATACCTAATTAGGCCTAGTTTTCCTCGACGTTAAGGAGCTTTAGTTCCAAAGTGGTCCTATGTTTACCGCCCATAGCTTCTATGCCATTTTATTGGCTTACTCGTACATTCCGCCTTGTTAGTCTAATTCTGCCGGGTTTACTTTGTAAACACCCACTCCTATACATGCTAGGAGTCGAAAAATCACCACTGTACTTTGGCCCTCAAAGTCTGGGAGTTGTGACGAGGTTTATCTGGTATTTCGCAAAAAAAAAAAAGTCTCAGCCTTTGTTATAGATAGACGAATAGCTTTCCTCGCAGATCTAGATTTCAACATTAACAATTTCCACCTCTACAGCGCGTGCGGAGTACATGCCTTCCAAGGCTATGTTATTGTAGACCTTGAATCAAAACTTCCCTCCTCAACATTTAATGTACGGACTTTTGGGGATCTAGATTACAAGCGCCAAGGACATGTGAGTCCACCTGGGCAACCTTGGAATCATATCGCGTATTAAATAAGCTAACCCCACACCTGGGCAGCCTTAGAGTCCACCTAAGCACGGGTGCGCTCAACTCCAATTTCTCATCGATTGACTTCGAAATCATTGGCTTTCTACTACGAAGGTAATCATGGCTGACCACCAAAAGGGGAAATATACCAATGGCTCTGGCAAAACCTGTCAAAACTGCGCGAGGGCCAAAATCCGATGCATTCGTTCTGTGGCTGCAGGGAGTTGCGACCGGTGGGTTAGTCGGAGAGATCGTCGATCCTCAATGTCTAACTGGCTGATAGATGCAGCCGCTTGGGGAAATCCTGTCACTTTCGGGAGGGTGGAAATGTAAAGCCTACAAATCAACCGGATACTAGAGACAGGTGACATATATCCTTCTAGTTCGTCTTATGTTGTATACTAACTATGCCAAAGAAGGATAGAGACACTGGAAGCCAAAGTAGATCAGCTCTTGGCCCAATTAGGGACGCCAACTCCGGTATTATATTATTTCCACATGCTTCATCGACCTTGCGAATCACTGACAATTAATACAAAGGGGAACATTGCTGAGATGACTCCGAGTAGTTCAGCGCATGCAAAAGATGTCATTGATCAAGGCCTAATTAGCATAGGTGCCGCCAACATGCTACTAAATGAATTTCGAGCGACACTCATGCCACACTGCCCATTCGTGATAATCTCAGCGCAGACAACCGCCGAAACACTCCGAAGAGATAAGCCATTTCTTCTTCTCACGATCCTCACGGCTGCTTTGCATCACAATATGCCTCTGCAACGTAAATTGGAGAAGCAGGTAAAGAAGGTGATCAGTGACTGCATGGTATTTAATAGCCCGGTTTCATTCGAGATCCTTCAGGGACTTTTGGTTCATCTCGCATGGTAAGTCCCCGACTTTTTATCTCCACTTCATCTTTGATTAACAAAGAAATCAGGTGCCAGTATCACTCTAAGCCGCGTCGGTTTTCCCAATATCTACATCTTGGAATTAGTCTCATCACTGATCTACAACTCGACCGTCCCCCTGAACATCGGTTCTGGAGAACCAGAGTGGATTTTGATAGTGAACTAGACAGAGAGTCCATCTCCTGGGGACGGGAAGAAAAAAGAGCTGTTATCGGATTTTTCTATCTCTCATCTTCGTAAGTATCTCCACATCTCCAGACAACGGATGTTCGAGTTAACATCTCTGGTGTCTTCTAGGATCTCACAGATATTACAAAAGGGATGCTCCTTCCCATACTTGCCATATTTCGAGAGTATTTGCAAGTTATTGGCCGCAGATGCAGAGTATCCGTCAGATAAATATCTCCTCCATATTGTGCAGCTCCAACAACTTTCCGACAAAATCACGCTGGTTTCATCGCAGCATGTTCCAGAAATCCACAACACCCCATTTAGTCTCGAGCATTACTATCGCGAGTTGAAATCCGAACTCGATTTATATCGCGCCAATTTACCATTTCTCTTGTGTGAAAACCGTTCGTGAACTGAACTGCCATTATTGAATATTATCTTACTAACTTTCAAATACAGAGACTCTCTTCATGCAATTTCATACTGTCGAGATGTATCTATGCCAGGTCACGCTTTTCGATCACAAGCCCGGCGCGCAACCCCCACGTCATGAGCTGTCCTTCCAGATTGAAGCGTTGCGCATGGGACTCAGCGCAGCCAAGACCTTACTCCACTTTTATATGTGTCTACCCTTAGGCGATGACGCTAAATTCAACAATGTGGGATGGGTTCAACTCGGGTTCGCAGTCACACTTGCATGTAAGCTAGTGGTAGCAGCATCGGAACCTTCGATTCATCCTCACACGGTCGATTTGTGTTGTGCGCTGGATATCTCTAACACGATAAAACGATGTATTATTCGTATCCAGGCGCTCATCACGTCGGATATGGATGAATCCGGAGATCGGGATGTATTCTATCACTATGAAAAACGTTTGAAACGTGTCCAATGGTGGTTTGAAAGTCGAATGATATCCGGAACCAGTACTGATCAGTCCTATCACAACATACAACTTACGGGAGGAACCGATTCATCCGCTGGAGACGCAAGCCATGGTGTTGATGCTCTGCAGCCAACACTGAACGGTTTAGACAACCATTTCCAGTGGCTAGACTTCTTCCCGGATACGGCCGTTGACGAGATGTATGTCGACTGGATGGCACACCCAACGACATCATTTGACCCGCAGCGCTTGGGTTAGTCTGCCGGTGGATATGGACTGGTGGCAGCCACATGGACATCATTTGCAACGTCTACATTTACAGAATGAGAAATTGAAGCCTATTAGTCCTTCGTCTCGTCTGGAGACAAAAGTATCCCGGTGGCCATCACAATAAGAAATACCACCACCCCCAAACCACCCGATAATGTTTTTACCCGAATTTTTCAATACACCAACTCGTCACCCCTCGCTACTAGCCCTTCACAAGACATGAAGAATGAATATCCTATCTATAACACAAGAATCTCATAGACTTTGGCCCTATGTTAACACCGGGATCTGGGAACTGAAGTATAAACAGTTTAAATTCATTGTGGCATTTGACGACTGAATTGGCGTTCTAGGGTCTGTTCTAGAACCCGGGCTTAGACATATATGTAGTTGTTTAGGCGTCCATTTCGTCTCCATATCAGTCTCCGTGTCCGTGTCCGTGTCCCTCGTGCCCATACGAAGTACACTACTATAAATCAAAAATCCGTGTCCGTGTCCGTATCTTGGCGTCACTGCCAAGACATCCCGATCAGCTTCGGCATCCACTCACTGCCCTCGATGGCGAATCAAGCACTGTTTAGTGCCGTAAGTAATGGCACAGAGGATATCTCCGTATTTGCTGCGGCATAGATCTATCCAAGTTAGCGGCTATCAGTCAGCTTGACGCAGGCATCCGTGGATTGATGTTCTCAACAGACATGGACGCCTAACTAGGGCCAACAATAGTTATTTTTGGAGATATTTAGTTTAAAATTTCAATATGGACTCAATGTTAAATACCCTCTATTGGAAAGCTTCTTGCTTTTTCACATAGATCGAATTTACAGAAACCACCATGAGCAATTCAACAGATCCATCCGATTACTGCACGCTGGCCATTTGTCCACTTAGCGAGGCGCACGTTGAGTACGTGCCTTCACTAGCTGGAAATGCCTTCTACCTGGCTGTTTTTGCGGTCTTGTTGGTAGCCCAGGTAGTGCTGGGCATTCGATATCGGACCTGGGGCTACCTCGGTGGTTTATTTGGTGGCTTAGTGCTCGAAATAATCGGATATGCTGGGCGATTGCAGATGCATTATAACCCATTCCTCTTTAATCCTTACCTTGAGTACGTCCATTACATTCACATGTGTTTTTACCCTTGGAAAAATACTAACGGGTGATCAGATATTTGATCTGCCTCACAATAGCCCCCGCATTTATCAGTGCTTCGATATATATTTGTCTCGGACGGATTGTTATCATCTATGGAGAGGACATTTCGCGCCTTAGTCCTAGGACTTACACTATTGTCTTCATCATCTGTGATTTGGTTTCATTGCTACTCCAGGCTTCAGGAGGCGCTGTTACCTCTATCGCTGATGCGGACCAGGCTGATCTCTCCCAAGCTGGTATTAATACCATGATCGCCGGTCTATCAAGCCAGGTTGTCTCTCTGGCTATCTTCATGGCCCTCTGTCTAGACTTTGCATGGAAAGTACACAAGAATCAGCACAAACTCAACCCGGAGATGGACATGATTGTTCTCCGGAATAGCATCAAGTGGAAAGCTTTCCTGGCTGGTGAGTACCTTTATCTTCACGTGTGCCAGAGCGCTGGTTAATCATAAATCCAGGCCTGGCCCTAGCAACGGTTACCATTTTCGTTCGCTCTGTGTTCCGAGTTGCAGAGCTCCAGGGTGGATTCCACAGTTCATTGGCAAACAATGAGGTTGTCTTCATGATCCTGGAGGGAGCTATGCTCACAATCGCGCTTTTATGTCTGACGATACTTCATCCTGGTATATGTTTCAATGGTCAATGGGATAATACTAAATGGTCATTCCACAAGTCGAATGACAGTGAGATGAGTTTGATGTCTGAGGTCTCGATGGCTAGGTGAAGGCCAGGCAAATTGATTCTGCCTGAAGCTGAATGTTTAATGATGTGGTTTATGGGGGGTTTCAATGTCTATTCCCTCCCCTTGTCCGATTGATCGATTTCATTTTTTTCCTTTTCATACCTCGTCCTGTCCTGCGGTCTCAGCTTTTGCTGTCCTTGGATTTATTGTCTTTTTATACCTTTGATTTCAATACAATAAGATTGATAGATTGTTCATATTATCCGGGAGTCAATTATACAGATTTAGTAAGGATCAAATTAGCAATCTCATTTAGTTGATCTGGGGAACAAATTGCCGGGCTTTTCGGATCTTACACCGAAATTCCTGGCCAAATAATGGCTAAGCAAGGACCAAACGTGATATATTTCGGCCAGAGGAAAAGCAAATTTATACACGACCCTTCATGTTTGTGAAACAAAGGCATCAAAGTGCGACTAGATGGAAGGCTCTTTCATAACATTTAAGTTTCTTTTTTCTTGTGTGCTGACGTGATATAACTAATGCCAACTGTGTAGGATATGTGGCCAAGGTTTTGTATACTTGTATGGGATTTAAGTACGACAGAAATTTTAATTAAAAATGATCCCATGCCATTCTGAGCTCTGGAATGATGACGAGATATCCAGAAAACTAGCTAAGGGTCACACAGAAGACAAGCATGCTAAAAGGGGAATGAAAAAGTCATAGGTACCGAGGGAGCATGTCACCTCGCGAAATCAGTAGAAATTGAATACATCAGGAAAGTAATCGTAAGGCTGTGCTAGAAAGAAGAAAAGCTGCCCAGAAAATTATTATGGGTGGCTGAGGAGGTACTCCACTGCTCCTTGAACACTGCCGCCTGCGCGACGGAGAGCTTCAATGTTCCGTTCGAACTCAAAGAATCCCATATCGTTCAACTGCCGCAACTGATCGGCGTATCTGTCCTCCGGGGGCGGGTGTCTGCAGGCTGCTGTGGGGCGCCGAAACCACCCCCGAAACCACCAAGACCGCCACCACCGAGAAGAGCAGCCAGAGGGTTTGCACCACCTTCTGCACCCTGTCCGCCCATTCCTTGCATCATCTGGGAAAGCAGCGCCGGGTCACGTAGGAACGGATTTTGCTGAGGATTGAAAGGGTTCGCGCCGCCCTGGCCAGCTTGTCCAGCATTTCCAAAGATAGCCGGGTTCAGGAGAGATGCGAAAGGATTCTGAGCAGCTTGAGGTGTTTGTCCCTGAGCAGGTGTTGATCGGTCCGTAGAGTCGGCACCCTGCGCACCGCCGGGCTGAGTAGCGCCAGGGGTGGCAGAAGGCTGGGCTGGGGTTGCGAAAGGGTTGGCTCCGAAGAGGGCTCCGAAAGGGTTTGCGTTGCCAAGCGGATTCTGAGGCATCTGCCCGAATGGGTTTATTTGCGCATTCTGTTGCTCGGAACCCGGGGTTCCCTCAGCCGTCGTGTTTGTCACTCCCGGGGCGGGGAATGCGTTATCACCGCCACCCAGTCCGCCACCCATTCCCATAGCTCGTTGCATTTGCATCATCTGCCGAATCGAGCTTGGATCGGTCAACATGCGGCGGAACTCTGGGCTTTCCATCATTTGTCGGACTCCAGGTCCCATGTCGCGGAGCATGGGATTCTGTTGGATCATCATGTCAATCATAGCGGGGTTTTGCAGTGCTTCGTTGATGCTCGATTGGAACTGGGGATTCTCGAGCATGTTGAGCATCGACTCAGTATCTGGCGGGGGTCCCATCTAAATGGCCAAGGGATGTTAGCTATCCGTTGCACAGATTATTAAAGAACTTCTATCTCCAATAGGAGCTCACTTACTCCACCATCGGGGCCGAAAAGACCCGCCCCAGGAAGCTGTGCGAACCCAGCATATCGTGCACCAGTCAAACCAGCAAGTGGGTTATTGCCAGTACCCGCGGCGAGATTGGTTGGGACACCGGCTGCCGCCGGGCTTGGAGTTGCTCCAGCAGCCGCTGTGGCTGAGCTAGTCTGAGCAGCTGTGTTCTGGCGCTGCTGGTTGCTCGCAGCACTCTTTACGAGATGAATAGTATGGCCATCCTTGATCTTGTAGGTCTCCAGTGTCTCAGTGTCCTTCAAAACCCTACCCGAGTAGATCAATCGCTGACGCTCTGCGGGGGTATCGGCATTTTCGGGGGTTGAGAGCTTCTGCTTGAGATCTGACACGAGAGTGGTGAGGGGAAGTGTCAGGGTATATTTGGCATCAGTGGATGATTTGACAGTGAAGGTAATGGGAGCCTGTTCTGTGGTAGTCGTCTCGTCGGCCATGGCGAAACGATGTATGATGATTGTAGAGCAAGTGGGGTGACGATAGGGAGATGGACCAATGATAGGGGTATATCCCGAGAGGATAAAGAGGCTGATCAAACGCCTGGTTGTATGAATTCTTGTGATGTGGATGAAAACCGTGAAAGTGAGATGGAATGTGAGATGAGGGGAGTCAGTGAGGCCGTTATGCGGAGGTGATCTGCCCTGCATCAATCGGCGCGGCGTGGAAGGCGGTCGAATCATAAATCACGTGCCACACGCGCTAGTGGAAGCTCTCCCACACGGCAAGGAATATTTTCTCTTCCTCACCTCTTCGAGTTTGACCACACGGCTACACTTTTCTTCATCCGTGGCAAGTGGACTTGAGGAGTTTCTCTTTCTTAACTCCACCCAGCAGGGATGGGACTGATGTAATATTCATACCCCCTGACTTGCAATTGCATGTACAAAGCTTCCACCTCTTCTGTGTGGTACCGGGAAACCGATACCTAGTCGCCCACCATGGCCACCACATCGCACATGTTTATGTACTCCCTGACGATTCAGCCCCCAACTGCTATCACACAGGCCATCTTGGGCCAATTTGCAGGCACCAGGGACCAGCAGATCGTCACCTCGTCAGGCTCGAAATTGACCATTCATCGGCCTGACCCGGCACAGGGCAAGATCACACCACTCTTCTCTCAAGATGTTTTCGGCATCATTCGCTCCCTCGCAGCTTTCCGCGTAGCTGGAAGCAACAAAGGTATGTCACTTTTATTTTATAAACCCCTTGTCTCCCCCTTTACGAGTACAACTTAGTGATTCTCCAAGCTTCCTGGGCAGCACGGTCCGCTTACGAACCGACCTCTTGAGGGGGGTTGGGATCTGCCCTGGAGAGCGACGTTGATACTCGCAATGCTTCATTATCAACGAACTGTGCTGAGTGATTATAATAGATTACATCATTATCGGCTCGGACTCGGGTCGCATCACGATCATTGAGTATGTTCCCTCCCAGAACCGCTTCAACCGTATCCATATGGAGACATTTGGAAAGTCTGGAGTTCGTCGCGTCGTACCAGGTCAATACCTCGCAGTAGACCCAAAGGGACGTGCGTGTCTGATTGCTTCTGTGGAAAAGAACAAGCTGGTCTATGTTCTGAACCGCAACTCGCAGGCAGACCTCACCATCTCCTCACCTCTGGAGGCACACAAGCCCCAGACCTTGGTTTTCGCCATGATCTGCTTGGACGTCGGTTATGACAACCCCGTTTTCGCTGCTCTAGAGGTGGATTACTCGGAATCTGACCAGGATCCCACTGGTCAAGCATACGAAGAAATCGAGAAAGTTCTGGTGTACTACGAACTTGACCTCGGGTTGAATCACGTTGTCCGCAAGTGGTCTGACCCCGTCGATCGCACAGCATCCATGCTGTTCCAGGTACCTGGAGGAGACGATGGTCCCAGTGGTGTCTTGGTGTGTGCGGAGGACAACATTACCTACCGCCACTCCAACCAAGGTGCGTTCCGTGTGCCAATTCCGCGACGCAGCGGGGCCACAGAAAACCCTGAGCGCAAGCGCTCGATTGTGTCAGGAGTTATGCACAAAATGAGAGGGGCTTTCTTCTTCCTTGTCCAAACCGAGGACGGCGACCTGTTCAAGCTCAACCTGGAAATGGTGGAAGACAATCAGGGTAAGCCCACAGGAGAAGTGAGCAGGCTGACGATCAAATACTTTGATACGATTCCAGTATCAACGAACCTCCTGATCCTGAAGAGTGGTTTCCTCTACGCTGGCTGCGAATCTGGAAATCACAATTTTTACCAATTTGAAAAGCTTGGCGATGACCCCGACGAGCTTTTCTTTTCCAGTGACACATTCTCGGCTGATCCCTCTGTGCCCACCGCGCCGGTCTACTTCCGTCCCCGAGGCGCTGAAAATGTCAACCTCATGGAAAGCATGAACTCTTTGAGCCCTCTGATTGACAGTAAAATCCTCAATTTGAGCGAGGATGATGCACCTCAAATCTATACCATCTGTGGCTCTGGAGCCCGAAGCACATTCCGGACTCTGAAGCACGGACTCGAGGTATCGGAGATCGTGGAGTCAGACCTTCAGCAGGTGCCTTCGGCTGTATGGACAACTAAGTTGACGCGAGCCGATGAGTTCCACACGTACATCATTCTCTCTTTTGCAAACGGCACCCTTGTCCTGAGCATCGGCGAAATTGTCGAAGAGGTTTCAGACACAGGGTTCCTGTCTTCGGCTCCCACTCTGGCAGTGCAGCAACTTGGTGAGGACTCTTTAGTCCAAGTCCACCCGCGAGGTATTCGTCACATCCTCTCAGATCAGCGAGTCAACGAATGGCCTGCACCACAGCATCGGTCTATCGTTGCGGCAGCCACGAATGAACGCCAAGTTGCAGTGGCACTCAGCTCCGGTGAAATTGTCTACTTTGAGATGGACGCAGACGGCACATTGGCCGAATATGATGAGCGACGACAGATGTCTGGTACCGTCACCTCTCTGAGTATGGGAGAGGTTCCTGAGGGCCGCATGCGAAGCTCATTCCTGGCTGTTGGATGTGATGACTCTACAGTCAGGATTCTCAGCCTGGACCCAGACTCAACACTCGAGAACAAATCAGTGCAAGCATTGACGTCTGCACCATCTGCCCTGCAAATAATGGCCATGGCCGACTCGAGCTCGGGCGGCACGACCCTTTATCTCCATATCGGTCTTTACTCTGGTGTCTACCTTCGTACCGTGTTGGATGAGGTGACTGGTGAGCTCTCGGATACTAGAACTCGCTTCATCGGTGCCAAACCTGTGAAACTCTCCCAGGTTTCCGTCAAGGGCCAAACGGCGGTTCTGGCGCTCAGCACCCGCCCCTGGCTGGGATACTCTGACGTCCAAACCAAGAGCTTTATGCTCACTCCTTTGGACTACGTCGGGCTAGAGTGGGGATGGAATTTCTCCAGTGAACAGTGTGTGGAAGGCATGATCGGCATTCAAGGCCGTAGTCTACGGTATGTGGTTAATCCCATCTCTAAATTTCCCCAAATCCCCCCAATCCCCCTGATCAGTGATGAGAAAATCAATCCGAACTTTTATGTGGATGAAACTTTAAAAGAAAAATTCCAATTGTTCCTGCTGAGATCAAACCTCTTTTATACCACGTTGAGACTGCAAATACTTCTGGCCTGGTACTAACTGAAAATAGCATCTTCACTGTTGAAAAACTGGACAACAACATGCTCCAAGAGTCCATCCCTCTCTCTTACACTCCTCGACGCTTTGTCAAGCATCCCGACCACCCCCTCTTCTACGTCATTGAATCTGACAACAATGTCCTGTCTCCTGCCACCCGCCAGAGACTAATTGACGATTCTCAAGCTCAGAATGGTGAGGTTGCAGATCTCCCGCCCGCAGAATTTGGATATCCCCGAGGCACTGGCCACTGGGCTTCGTGTGTCCAAATTGTGGATCCGATCACCACCAAATCTGTGATCTCCACCCTTGACCTCGAGGATAATGAGGCAGCAGTCAGCCTTGCCGCAGTATCATTCTCAAGTCAAGATGATGAAACTTTCTTGGTTGTGGGAACCGCCAAGGATATGACAGTCAGCCCTCCCTCGGCTTCTTGTGGTTTCATCCACATTTATCGATTCCAGGAGGATGGCCGAGAGTTGGAGTTCATTCACAAAACCCAGGTTGATGAGCCCCCCTGGCTCTCCTTGGCTTCCAGGGCCGTCTCCTAGCAGGTATCGGCCCCATTCTACGTGTGTACGACCTTGGCATGAAGCAACTACTGCGGAAATGTCAAGCACCCGTGGTCCCCAAGACCATTGTGGGTCTGCAGACCCAAGGCAGCCGAATCATTGTCAGCGACGTCCGCGAGAGTGTGACTTACGTTGTCTACAAGTACCAGGACAATGTCTTGATTCCATTCGCGGATGATTCGATCGCACGCTGGACATCGAGTACCACCATGGTTGATTACGAAACGACAGCTGGCGGTGACAAGTTCGGAAATCTGTGGCTGGTCCGTTGCCCTAGCAAGGTCTCTGAACAGGCGGACGAGGATGGATCTGGGGCACACCTCATCCATGAAAAGGGCTATCTCCATGGAACTCCCCACCGTCTCGAGTTGATGGTTCACTTCTTCGCCCAGGATATTCCCACCAGTTTGCACAAGACCCAATTGGTCGCTGGAGGCCGTGACATTATTGTCTGGACTGGCCTCCAAGGCACAATTGGAATGTTTGTTCCTTTTGCCAGCCGTGAGGATGTCGACTTTTTCCAGCTTTTGGAGACCCAGCTGGCTTCCCAGCAACCCCCTCTGGCTGGACGAGACCATTTGATGTACCGCGGCTACTATGCCCCTGTGAAGGGCGTCATTGATGGAGATCTTTGTGAAATGTATCTCCTGCTGCCTAATGATACCAAGTTGATGATTGCCGGTGAACTCGATCGATCTGTTCGGGAGATCGAGCGCAAGATTTCGGTAAGTTTGCAGAGGTTCCCCTATTGTGTGTTATTCATTTTACTAACATCTCCCAGGATATGCGAACACGGGTGGCGTATTGATTTCGGGTTTGTTGCGGCGTCTGCTGGCGTTCCTTGCTGCCCTGTCTACGGGCTTCAGATACCTACGTCTTTGTTAATGGATGATGATTGTGTGACTTTGCACCACGACTAATTTCCAACCGAGGCTAACTACCTCGGCGTTGCACTACATACACCTCCCCTTTCCTTCGTAGAGTCCTTTATGATGTTGATGTCTCTTGCCTCGCTCGGTCTGCCGTTACCCCTCGGCTAATCTTGAGCTGGATGCAGCCGGTCACTTTTAGTGCTGGCTTGTACGAGACAAGAAGAAGCGTGAAAACGCGTCAACGCTTTTTGAGTACGATTTGATCCGCAATGCACCACGGGTCTACGTCGTAATTTATCAGTTGGGACAATCCTATAAGTCTATTTTATTCTTTTTGTTTATCTTGTGACCGAATGAAAACAAATTTATTCCAAATCCTTCTATTCAATAAATCTGTTGATATTTTCTAAGGTACTCTTCTCTACAGACTTCCCCCTTCTTGGCGTTGTCGGTAGAAGGCGCGAAAGGAAAAATGTGATATAACATGTGACAAGAATATGTGCATCTGTACGGAGTAGTCGTCAACATATATGATCTACATATGTATGTCCTTGACAATGTAGTTCAATAATTTGATTTAGCATTACTATGATACATATTGTTGAACGATATTTGAAATATGTAAATAGCTGCAAACTACTCCGTACTCCGTACTCCGTTCCGTATACGGAGTAGAATATAGTGAAAAGCACACCTGGGCACTCAATTTTTCTGTGTTAGGGCCATGATCACATGACAATCAGATAATTCGGTCTCCCGACAACTTCTACTTTGGACACCGAGATCGAATTGCGCCATCCAAGATCTTTTCTCTCCGATCGTTTACTCCGACACTCCGGGAAAGAAGAGAAAGAAAAGAAGCTCGGCATAGCCAAGATCTCGGTTACGGCCGGAAATCTCTGGGGCCGAAGCTAGGCCCGGGTTCCATCGTTTCTTCTCCGCGGGAAAATTTCATCCAGTTTACTTCCGTAATAGCTCATGTGTGATTGAAAAACTTCAAAGGTCCTCAAATATGACCAAAGGCTGTCATGAACGCACAAAATCCAACGGGATATTGCTTTGAAATCGATCCTGGCTATTCTAATGAACAGAGTTCGGCAATATCACACGATGATTGGTCACATTGAGTACAACATAAGCTTGGGCTGGGGGGAATGTGGACGAGTGGAGTCCAAAGGGCGTGCCCAGGTGCATGTCGTACTAAGGCGCACTCCACTTCTTCCCCCTTGACCCGTGAAGTTGGGCTTGAAGTTGACTCTTTTGACCTCCAAGGTTTGAACAGTCTAAAAGATCTGAAAGATCTAATTGAGCCGTACGAGCGAAAATATCTGAAACGGAGGGAAAGCACTTAGACAGATGGCCTTCCAGAGCCCTTGAATACCATATCATGTGCTACCTTGAATTGAACTAGCCTCTTCCTATGTTGTATGTCCTTTGACCAAGCGGAATGTCAATCCAAGGGCGTGCAGCGGGAACGGATCCTCGCATCTGACCAATCATCTCTGGACCCCAATGACTCCTTGGCTCTGCCTTCCTTATACTGAATTGTGTACTGGTTAACCTTTCCTTATACTGAAGTGTATACGATTCACTCGGGTTTTTTTTAGTTTGGAGGCGCTACAAGCGTGTTATCTTGAGCCGAAGTATACGGTAGATGCGCCTTCTGGATGACTTGTGAGTCACTCCAAGTTGATTTATAAGATACTTGGGGGTGTCCGATGAGGCCATCTGAAACCTTGCTCACATTGTCGGGGCTCCTCCACACCTGTTTTCCTTGACTCCATTGCGGTTGTCAACGGCTCCACCGTTTACTTTTTTTTTTTTTTTTTACATTTCATTTTTCTTTAAGAAGAACCGCATCAGGTTCCTATTTGGCCTGATTTTTTTTTGATATTTCATCTTCACTTTATTTTGACGTGTCGGCTGCCATATTGTTCCTACATTTCTCTGTGGGACAGGGCTTTATACATATTCTCTTTGCTTTCCCTGCGAAACAATGTCGACCGCAACTTCAATCATCAGCTCTGGCTCGGACAGGCTAGATGCTTGGACTCGACGCTCACAGCCCAAAATCGAGATAAATATTACAGGGCAAAAGCCAGGACATGTCAACTCTTATACTACCGGAGAGAGTATTGATGGCAGCATAACCGTCACCGTTGAGCATGATACTCGATTTGAAGAGGTTGAGATCGTGTTTGAAGGTATTTACTATTCAACCCCAGCCTATAAACAATGCTAATTAAAGAATAGGTGTAGCTCGAACGACAGTAGAACGGGCATCATGCCCGGGCCGCACGGGATCACAACAGATGTTTCTCAAGTTGCGCCAGCCTATCGATGAAATGGAATATCCGACCCCTCGAATCCTAGAGGGTGGCCGGTCATATGAATACCCCTTCACATTCGTCGTCCCAGACCGCCTGCTGCCCCAGGTCTGCACTCACCCCAAGAAGAATGCTCACATTCAACGATCCCACATTATGCTTCCGCCAACATTGGGTGATCCCATCCTTTCTAGTAATGGAAAGACACTACTAGATGACATGGCCCCCAGCATGTCGCAGATTGGATACACGATTCGAGCATCTGTTCTTCAAAAACAACTCGTCGGCCCTGGGGTCGTGGCTATCGCCGGCATTGCCAAGAAAGTCCGTATCATTCCAACCGTCGAAGAAGAACCTCCTGTGGAAATTTCCGCGAGTCCATCTCTCTGCACACGCAAAGAGAAGAGCGTCAAGCGTGGCACCTTGCGAGGCAAATTGGGACACATCGTCGCTTCATCATCCCAACCCAAACCCATTCAACTTCTTCCCCCAGACGGCGAACCAACCGATACCGTGAGCACTGTGGCTACGGTAAACCTGCGATTCGATCCAGTCGGCGACGAGCAACCTCCCCCACTCGGGACAATGACCAGCAAACTCCGCGTCAACACATTCTTCAGCGCAGCCCCATGGGATGACTTCCCATCCACGACTGGCATGCCCTTCGCCCACATCGGATGCGGCCTGTATACAGAAAGCGTCCCTCTATCAACCATGTGTGTCGCATCGGCCAAATGGACAAAGCAATCGACAGCCGCCGACACCATGCGCCGCGACTCCACCGACTCATCCTCCTCCGATTCATCAACCGGCCCGTCCTCCGCATTCACCGGAGATACCTACTATACCGCATCAGTCGTCGTTCCCGTCACGCTGCCCAAGTCCAAAGCCTTCGTCCCGACTTTCCACTCCTGTCTGATGTCTCGCATCTACGCCCTCGATCTCTCTTTGACATACCACACTCCCGCTACCAACCTCATGACACCGACAATCTCCCTCCGTCTCCCGATCCAGTTCACAAGCCAGGCAAAGCGCGCCGAATCTATCAAGAGTCAGCTCGGTGTCACAGTCACCCAGCAAGAGCTAGAAGAGTTCTTCCACCCGCGCAATGTGACCTCTCCCACCGACTTTTCCAATACTCGCAATGATGTGGTGATTAATGACGATCTTGCCCCACCGGAGTACACGGAACGACTGAGCGCGCTGAGAGCTAATCGCTAAATGATACGAGTTGTGGATGGTTCTGTTCATGCTCGTTTGTTAATCGCCAACCAATACCCCTAATTCTGTTGGCGAACATGAAAAAGTCCTCTTTTTGTACAGCGTTTATATTTTATATGGTTATGACTGCCTTTTTTTTTTGTTTTTTTGTTTCGATTATACCCTATTGCTCATACAAAATATTTTTTTCTTATGTCGTTCATATGTATGTTAGCTTGTTGCTTTACTCTTGCTTTAATTCATTAATTTCATATATACTCGACCGACAACACTAGTCGTGATCTCTGTCTTTTAAATGTATATATGCTTCAGGAAATCTCACCTCCAGCTCCGTGGACCGTCCTTATGAAGGAGGAAACATAATAGCTCTGAGATCAATATATAAACTTAAAATAGACTCAATTACTTGCCACTTTGAAGCAGAGAGGGCATAAATACGGGTTGTGGTTTGAAAAAAAGAAGATATCTGAGGTTCTGTCAAATGTCCTCGTGGAAGAAAGAAGAAGAGAGAAATTCCGCAAGTATCTAGAATATATAGATGGAGATGTATGTAATATAGGAGGTATGAGGTAGCGCTACACAAATCCGCAGTTATACTGACAGTTATAGGCCCGCGACCTGGGTGGAACTGAGATCAAATTTATCTTTCATGTCTGACGGAAAGTTGATCCTCCCTTGTCCCGTTTTTATTTTTTTTTTTCTATATGGATTTCTCGGGATAATATATTGCTTCAGAAAACTCTACGTTGAATCTGTCCTCTATGTAGCCATGACAGGTGGGTATCTTCCGTTCTACAAACCCTCATTGATCCCAAGTCCCCAGCAATTATCAGATTACTTTCACCCCCACTAGCATACCACACCAAATAACTAAAACTAAAAAAGACCAGCGATGGCTAATCGAGGCCTAAACCAAAGCCTGATATCAAAGCCTAGTTCAAGGACGCTATCAGAAAGCTCTTGGCATCTGATCTAGCCTACGCCCCCGACGACTACGAAACCTATGGTCGAATCACGCACAAGCAGATTGGTAAGGCCAACAAGCAGCTCGATAATGAACAAATGGAACGCAGAAATAACATCACCGACCGCCCAACATGGTTTAAACCAAGTTCAGTCTTATCGCCCTCGTTACCCTTTCGATTTAAGAAGCCAAAACCTTGCTCGTTAATTTTGGACAGACTTTCTCTTCTGCCTCCCTACAAGAGGATGATGTAACTCGAGGGCAAGTTAAGTTAGTTGATGCATTCGGCATTTTGCTCTCCGACAAGTTGACAGCTCATAAGACAGAGGAAATGGACTTCCTTTGTCTGTTTTATGGGCTTGAGCGGTGACGACGAATCGCGTCATCCACCATATTTGAGAGGAGTAGTTCTTACAAGCACACT